AGAGCCTGCTTTCAGATAGTCTCTTCATAATACATAAAAGATAAACCAGGCACATACACACACAAATCAGTAAATTCATCTTAAAAGCTCATTGATCCTTACCTACAGCTCTGACAATCAACAAAACTGTAGCTATGACTGAGTTTATGAGTTTAACACAGTTGGTTTAAATTAGGGAGACTATGGAGATAAAGGTGATCCAGGGAGCAAAAGAGCCAAAGGAGAAATTGGAGACCCAGGACCTCCACCAAAGGTAAAACACATTTTCATATTACTTAATTTTACACAATAGAAGTTAGACAAATTTGGCTTTTGTTAATTTATCTGACTGTACACATTTTCAGGGATCTCGGGGAAGAAAAGGTGAACCTGGTCTTACAGTAAGTATGTAAATTAATTAATTTAACAATTAATTAAGTTGAAGCAATATGAGTTTATTTTGGGAAAATATTTAAAGGTTATGTGGTCTTACACAAGATTGTTTATGGGACATTGCATTGCCTGCATTTTTGTAAATAAATAAATAAATAAATAAATATTTCAGCATTCATAAAACTAGAACACACAACAAATGAATGCTCTTTTTCAGAGAGAAGAAGTTATCAGACTTATCAATGAAATATGTGGTAAGCATTCCAGTATGGAAAAAAATTGTTCTGGTAAAATTAAAACACAGTGAATTTTATCTTGACTGGATGGATTTTTCTCTGCATGTTTGTGTATAAGGACACCCTTGATATAAAAATGATGCTCACTATGTTGCCAGACCTATACCTAAAGTAATTTGGTCCAGCTCTGTTTCTGTTGATCAGTATTAGTAACTAGAGATTAATTCATTAACTGAGCTTTAACTGACTGTTAATCTGATATAAGACTTCAGTTTGTTTTTATGAAGGTGGTTTCTCATAAAATGTCTGAAATGATTGCTTTCTAGGTTGTGGTATCAAATGTAAAGTAACACCATTGGAACTAGTATTTGTCACTGACAGTTCAGAAAGTGTTGGACCAGATAACTTCAAAATTATCAAAACCTTTATGAAAACATTCATTGACAAGGTATCGGCCAACCATGCTACAACCCACATTGGAATTATCAACTTCAGCCATAAAGTGGACTTGGTGTCTTCTCTGAAGCAATACACAACCAAAGAATACCTGAAATCAGCTGTTGACAAAATGCCCTACTTAGAAGAAGGTACATACACAGCTTCTGCGATCCAAGAAGCCATTCAGTTGTTTCAGGCAGCGCGCCCAGCAGTGAGGAAAGTGGCTGTTGTAATAACAGACGGACAAGCAGACACCCGGGATAAAGTACAACTGGATAACGTAGTAAGAGAGGCCCACACTATGAATATTGAGGTATTTGTCATTGGGATTGTTCAAAGGACTGACCCTCATTTTGATGACTTTCTGAAAGAAATGCAGCTCATTGCAACAGACCCTGATGAAGAACATGTTTACCAGATAGATGACTTCATAATGCTTTCAGGAAAAAGGAATTATTTTAGTAAGAGGAAACTTGAAATAAGCATATAAGACAGTTTGGCCTCTTTTGAATAAAGCTCACTCCTCTATTTCATGTCCTCTTTGGTCAAATGAAACCTTTCCAAATTTTTACCACTTGCAGAAGCAATAAACCACAATGAATATCAGTTTTCTGAGCCCAGGCCTTCTCTGGGGCACTCCTCTTTTGTGAGAGCTTGCATCAGCCTTCCTTCACAGTCCTTTTGTGTTTGGCCATGGTTTCATCCTAGAAAGGTGCAGATTTTCTTCCACTTTGATATAACATTTCTGATTCTTTCTTTCTCTATTTCTTATGGCTGTCATCAGTCTTGAAATCCCTCCAGTATCTCTTACAAGCATTCCTTCAGTTTTTTTTCTGAAATTCATAGAGAAACCTACGCTTTCATCCTGATTCTAGAGGAAAAGTGGTGGAGCCACACACAAGGGAATGGGATCTGATAGTAAGTTTTGTGCTTCAATGTATGTGGCTTGAAAAAAATCCTGTGGCCCCAGGTGGAATCAGGAGAAAATCCAGAGAAAATCTATAATGACCCTTGAAAAAAGCACCATACATTGATCCAGACTAACCATAGACCAGCCCTACAAAGTACATTTTCCTGAGAAAAAACTTATTTTGCTATGTTGAGACTGTGTTAAGTCTGGATTTAAGGCATTAAGAAGAGAGCCCATGCTAAGATTCTGGTCCCAGCTGGGATCAGACTTGAGGCTCTGACTCAGATTCCAGCATTCAACATAAAAATATTCTTAGTCACAGGGGGTTTTTGTGCAAATAAGTAGAAAGTGTTGCGCAATTTTTTTTTTTCCTTCTTACATGCAAACTCTTTTCTTTTCTTTACTCTAATTTTTTTTTTGCTTTGGTTTTTTTTTCCTCACTGTTATGAATTCTGCTTCCTAAAGGAACTTGATATTTTCATCTGTTTCTTCTTAAAAGGAAAACATGGCCTTAAAATCAAATAATTCAGAGTGTGTTACTTTCTTACTTCTCATTTGCATTTTGACATAACTACAAAAAACTACAAGTTACTATCATTAAAGATTTAGGATTAATACTGCAATAAAAGCTTGTGCTGAATCACTGTGAATTCTTTTGATTACCCTTAAAAAACATCATCATTTCATTAATCTTTCCAGCACTTGAAAATAAACTGATCACAAAAATCTGTGAGAATGAGTCTGCAGACTACAGAAAATTTAATATTTCATCTCCATCTCCAAGTCTGGAATCTCAAATTGCCAGTGAAGGTACTAATAGCCACTTATCTAAAATGACCACTTCAGAGACCGATATGCTTCCTACAGAAGGAACTGGTTACCCAGTGAGTAAAGAAGTAACAGCTATCAAATGTTTTTAAAATATGTGCATTTATTTGAATTCAAATATTTTACCATCTTTTTTTCACTACTCACCAGTCTTCTAATAGGTAAATAATAACATGTCAGTTATCTAGACCAAAATGTTTAAAAAAGACTTTCAAAGTTAGAGTAAACTTATTTAAGAACAGATATTGATGAAAGAAAGAGGGTAATATTGCTTCTTAGTTGCAATAAATGCCAACAGTCCTCACATTTTTTGTAGTTCTTATTCATCTCAGAAGTGAGTGAAAAATCTTATATTTCTATTGAGGCAGGTACACAGTGTATAAGACATTTATTTATGTGCAAGCTGCTTGTTAGTACAATACTTCTTGTCGTGGTCACATATGCTCCAGGTTGTTTCCAGTTGTATTTCCAAGTTAATAAACCTTTGGTGTTGTTTCACTTTCCATGTTGGGCTGTGCTTCCAGGACTCCTTATTCATGTTACTCTTCATTCTCCAGCTTTATATTTCTCCTGACCTGCACTGAGGTTCTGCCCTCCAACACAATGCTGCTGCACAGACAGGCAGAACAGGTGGAGCTTTAATGCAATAGATAAATATTTTCTGCAGGTGTGTTCCTTAGTTGCCTCTAAGGGTCTTCAGTATTTTTCAGAAACTATCGTAGTACCAGAATAGGACATTTGTCATCTTTGCAGTAGACCAGCACTAACTTTCTAGAGTGTTTTTATTGCTTTGCCTAAAAATAGTCAATGATAAAAACTGAGCTTTGCTTGCCCCTATAACCTGTTGAATAAACTCGAAATATTTGATGTATAAACTTCTGTAGCTGCATGTAATGGATATAGCGGACCATGATACGGGTATTTAAATATTAATTGAATTGAATACGGACTAGAGATAATTAAATATTACTGACTTACTCTGGAGGTGTCAAGGGATTAGCCACTATTAATTCTTTCTATTATTGTTTATATAATACCATGACTAATTATATTATTCACTTTCAAAATCTGGGTTAATTTCTAAGAACAAGAGCTCCCTTGGTAGGTGTGATTGAGTTTGGTTTGGGGCTTATAAAACCTCCAGACAGATCTGTGTGATACTGAGGGTCAGTTTTGACATTCTGTATCATGAAGAGAAATAAATGTAAACCTAGATTTAAAGATGCTGACTTTACAAAGCACGTGATAAGGATCACAGACAGGATTAGATTCTCACACACTTGGATGTGACTGGCCCTGGTTATAGTTAAATCTTCAAAACTGTTGAACTACTATCAGAAATAAACACAATCTTTTCATAGACTTGGAGAAGAAATGCAATATTTAAAGGAAACTGTGTGCTCCTTTAAATTGCACATAGACTTCAATTTTCAGAGTTCCAGTGACTCTGAAGAGTTTTCTTAAACTGACTGTGTCAGTTGTGGCCTGTAAATGGAAAGATATTGAAGAGTACCAAATTCCTTTCTGTTCTCAGTAGGTAATCAACATGTCTGATTAAGGCAGTTATTTGTACTATGCTGCACTAAGATTACAAATCTTCTTGAATATATTAAACACTAGATAGGCAAATTTTTATATAAGGGTTGCAATTTGAAGTGCAGGGTTGGCTGCTTAACACTTCTATCAAGATAAACTCTAAAATTGTAATGATTAGCAACTGGCTGTTAGCTAGAAATAGGAAAATAAATAATTTTTCACTTGGTTTGATAAGGAGAAGAACAAATTTTTTGTGAGACAATATTAATAATAGGATGTGGTCCTCGTAACAGGAGTTTTGGAAATTTTTGCTGTAATCAAGGGATTTCACATCTGAAAAGATCTTTGGAAGAGTGTAATGTACATGTGTTTTTCTATCAATAACAAGTATCCTGTTTCTCCTGCCAGCCATTTTCCATGTCTTGACAGATTGAAGATTTCAAATCATTCCCAGTGAGAGTACTAGATTTTAAGCAACACTGACTTAGCCCAAAATTCCTTCAACTTTTTGTTTTATTTATATTACAGACCAAGTGGTGACTGAAATGTTGGTTAAATTGAATGAATTCATCTTAGTGACTAAACTGATTGCCTTACTTTGCTTTTTCATTACACTCTCAATGTCAGAAAATTATGATTCCATACTAAGTAGTCACTAGAAGGAGGACCAAACTGACCTGCTGTTATTCTTATTTTTTCACACATTATTTAACAAAGGTTTCCTTAAAAAAATCTGTCAATTTTTTTTTTTCTTATAGCATCTGAGCCCAGACAAAATTTTAAGATTTTGACTCCTTTTGCAGAATAGTCCACCACAGTCCAGATATACTGAGCCACTGCGATCTGCTCAGGACCACACCGTGACCAGCTCTGCTCACAAAGAATCAATACTTCCCACAGTTTATGACATATCTGAAACCAGACCTCTGAGTCCAGTTGTGAATCCTTCCTTCCCAGGAACTGCTACTGAAGATCTCCAGCCAACTGTGTTGCAAACACAGGTAGCAACAATCCAGAAAGGTAATTAATAAATACTGTCCTCAAATACTAGGTAGCAAGTCTGCACCAAAAAAACCCACAATGAGCAAACCCCACTCTGTCCTCCAGTATAGTTTGGATTTTATCATTTTTTGTTGTTCTGAGTGCTCTGTCTTCAGACATCACACACAGTCAAAGCCAGATTTTCAGAGCCAGGTGATACCATTGCATATCAGTTGCATGCTTAGGTATTTAAACAGCAGCTTTAAATCCTTAAATCAGGATTTAAAGTAGGATTTAGGCAGTCCTACTTCAAAGTGATCCTGTATTTTTTTAGTCCTGTTCAGGTAACTCATTAATAGAAATGGCATTTGGTCAGGCATTACAAGAAAGAAAAAGGAGGCACTTACTGAAGGAGGCACTTCTAAGACAACATAACTTATCCCCAGAATCTAAGCTAACTTTTACTGATTTACTTTCAGATCCAAGGTGCTTGGAACCTATGAAACCAGGGGATTGTCGGAACTATGTGGTGAAATGGTACTATGACAGGAATGGCAATTCTTGTGGCCAGTTCTGGTATGGAGGTTGTAATGGTACCAACAATAGATTTGAAACAGAAAAAGAATGTCGAGAAACCTGCGCTGACTGATGAATAAGTAAGTTGCTTCCTTTGGGTCCTCCTTCAATCACCTCTTTTCCAGGTTAAAATGATTTAATCTATTTAACGTCTCCCAGACTATACATACATGTTATCTTTTATACCTTTGGTCAACCTTGGAATGTTTGTCTGAAGCTTTTTGAGATGGTGAGATCAGAAGTGCAGGTGGCAGTCATGGATTTATACAAGTGGGGGTTTCTAATTTGTTCTCTATTTCTTATCTTTCAGTTTCTAACATCGTATTTGATTTTTTTGACCATTACTGATGCTGGAGATGATATTTTCATAGATTATATTTCCAACACTTCATCTACAGAACAAACTGTGATATTATATTATTTGTGAATTCATATTATTTGTGAATTCATGTTCATTTCCCTCTTTGTGTTTCATTTTACATTTATTAAAACTCAGTTTTCCTTTTCAACTCACAGGCTATGTAGTCAACATCACAAGATCCTTCTTCAATTTCTTGCAGTCACTCATTTTCTTTACTATTTCAGAGGAATACAGTATTGTCACCAACTTTGTCACCTCCCTTTTTACTTCCTTCTCTAGATCACTTAAAACTATATTGAGTAGGACAGACCACAGCATCCATCCTTCAGTGACTCCTCTCCACTGAGCATTTATCCTCTTTCCTTTGCTTTATTCTTTTCACCACTTAGAAAACTGTCCCTCTCAAATCAGTATAACTTTTCTTTGGGGAGGGACCTTAAGTTCTGGAAATCCAATCAGACTATAGTGACTGCCTTAGATTCACTTTAGTGAGAGAAGGAGGGCCTTCAGAGTGATTGCTTACTAGTGATGCATAACTTCCTTTACAGAAGCCATGCAACTCATCCCCAATAAATTGCATTCAGTACTCTATTTTAACTTTCAGAACAGAAAAACTGCAGAGCATGATTTTCAAAACTTCTCAGGAAAATAAGACAATTTCTTATATCTTCTAGAAATGACTGCTGTTGGAAGCCTTTAAAGCTGGAAGTTCATGTGTACTGAAGAAGAACTGACTGAGAAAAATCCAAAATAATTTGTTAACATGAATATATTACTACCACACTTTATTGCTTCTCAGAGTATGGTCTGCACATTAACCAGATTCCTATATGATGTATGTTATCTGCAACACCATAGCAATAACTTACGATCACACATACACACACCTTTTCCCTCCAAATTTACATTAACTTGTGCTAGTACATGTGGCAATAATGAGATTCTATTTTCAGGATTAAAATATCAAAAGTGTTTACACTTAGCTTTTATTGACAGAGGTCTCTTAGTCTCATGGAAACATAAAATATGCTCTAGTTTTAAACAAGAGTAAGTGGTTCCTGAAATACACAGCGTTTAGAGACATAAATAATTATTTCCATTAATCAGAGCTCTTCTTGGAATGCAAATAACACAGCTATAGGTAATTAGAGGTCTGGGGGGGGGTGTTCCATTATTATAGCACATTTGCATTAACATCAATATAATCTTTTCAATTATAAAGGTTAGACTCGCCTTTAGATTTACATTAAAACCAGGATTCTTCATGTCCTTTACACTTGTCAGAACACTTCAGTTTCTCAGGATTTCTGAGTTAAAAAAAAAAAAAAGAAGAGTTATTTAAATCTAATATATGATATTAAATTTAAAAATGGAAAAACACTGAAAGATGTATAGACTTATGTATAGACTTATATACTTTCTACTTTTAGCCATAATCCTATGTGAGCACCTTGCTAAAACTGAAAATGATGAACGTGATTAAAATGGAAAGCAATACCTGATAAAAAGTCAAGCATTGTTATTGTTTTTGTTTCTTCACAAACAAAAGACTAGAATCTATACAGGCAGTATGTTTAAATGATTCCTTGCACAATTTTTCCCTCCATGCAACCAAATGACAAGCATGTGCCTTGCAAAATGAACTTGTTTGCAGCAGATAGGATGCAAAAAATATTCTATAGAAATTCTATAGAAAGCTGTGCTTGAAGTGGAGTTTAAAATTTTTTTTTCCAAAACTCTGGCCTTGTTAAGTGAGTTTTAAATTCGAAAAGAAAAAACTGACAGCACCCCAGAAAACATCCTGTTCTTATTATACTTAGAGCTATTATAATGCTCACTCAGAAAACACCAGAGGGCACAATTAATTTCTGTGAGACATGGAACAGTAAAATTGAAAGATATCACTTTGTACTACGTGTACTATGATGATCCACTTCATTTTATACCTACCAGGAATATTTTACGTTTAGCTGAACCTGGAAACCACAATAAAAAAGCCCACTGGAATTGCAAGGAAGTCTAGGAATCTGCAGGTTCTTTCAAATCTGTTCTAATCTTCTGTGCCTGGGCAGTTGTTCTGGGGATGGGATTAGCTGTTGTGTTCAGCTGCAGATCTCCAGACAAGGACATACATCTGTCTAAGAAATACTGGGGATAATGAGTTTGGAAATAAATACAAAGATGTAAATTATGGGCTTGCAATATCTTTGATAATGTTTACTGAAAACCTTTCTGGTAAAGCTGACAAGCTTTAGTAAGTACAAATAGCATCTTTGTACAAAACATCTTTTGCTACTTAACAAGGTTTTTTAAAAAAAGCAGTTACTCTTTAACATGCTTACGAGGAATCTTCTTAATGCAGGTAAACCTGTGCTATAGAGAAGACCACTCCTTTATGTTCCACTTTCATGCAGAGTTGACTAAATCCTCTGTAGGAAAGAGGAAAAAGTGAAGGCTATAAAGCTACTTAAAAGTTGTATGCTGTTCAAATCAGATTATCTTGAAATTAGCATCCTTTTCTGTTCAGATCTTTCTGTGTATCCCCAAACTGCAAACTCTGAATATATGCTCTGATATTTAGCAAACCATGAAAAAGCACATAAGTCCGTGCTGAAAGGACCACTCTTCTCTAACGCAGCATCAGCAGTGACTGGCAGCATTGGCTCCTGTGTCCCTCACGCAGCTCTGCCTCCTCAAGGGTGTCATGGAGGCAATAAACCAGGAGAGGGCCCTGCTTGCCAAACGTCTATTGCTTTATTCCCGAGCAGTGTAAAATCATACCGCATCATTGCTGAGGGCATTACAGTTTCCACTGGCAAGCAAATCCTTTATTTATGTCAGAGGCAAATTTGAAAAGCCAGAATAGTTTAATCATTAAATCCTTACATCTTCTGCTAGACCACGCCAAATGGTATAAACTGTAAAAGCTAAAACAAGTGAATAACATAGACTTTTCTATAGAACTGATAACTGTAAGATGATTTTTTTTTTTTTGACATCCTTGATTCTAAGAGTTCAGAAAAAGTCCCAGAAAATTAACAGGAAAATAGTACCTTATCTGCTCATCATAGAACAGCAGCAGCTTTTCACTTTGAGAAACTGTACCAGTCTCTTGCTAGCAACTATCTAAATGAATTCCTCTTTTGCCTTAACCCAGTTCAGTCATTGTCTGTCCCTAGGGCTCATTCAGACTGTTTTAATAACACTGCCTCTGCATTGACAATCCTGTGGTCTGCACTCCTTTATTTCTTCTACAGCTACAGATTTCCTAAACTGACTGAAGGAATGCAACGTTTCCTGCACTGCAGTTTTGAGCATCCTTGGAAAACTGATTACCATGTTTCCTCATTTGGAAGTGGCTGTCAAACATATTCTTTGGAGAAAGAAAAATGCTACTGATAGCATGACTGATAGCAATACCTACATTTTGAAAGAAAAAATTTATGGACGATATAGATTTATTGCAGCATTCCTGCACTTTTCTTGCATGGTTTCTTTCTTAACTTTTTTGGTACCATCAGTACATACAGCACACCCTTCTCAAATCCTGCAAAGTACAGTTTAAAGCAAATTCTCACAGGTAACTTGATGAATTTTTTTATTTTTTTATTTTTTTAAAAAAAGCAAACCAAATAACTCCTTTTCCTCCATCCCTCAGTGAAAGGGCCAAAATCTTCATGGGCAGGTGTGTGTGCCGGGACACCTCAGTTCTACCTGCAAGTTAGAGCAACTTTTCTAAGTTCTCTTGGTAAGAGATGCTGTAGGTCCAGAACTGAGATCTTTGATATCCCTGTTACCTACTGTTATTCCTCCTGCTGCTACTTATCAATAATTATTTATAAGGATTTCACTCTCCTTGGGCTGACTCACCTGCTGGAAAGCGGTGCCATGGAAAGGGACCTGGGGGTTGAATGAGCCACCAATGCCCTGGCAGCCAGGAGGGCCAACTGTGCCCTGGGGGCATCAGGCAAAGCATCACCAGCCGGTCGAGGGAGGGAATTGTCCCACTTTGCTCTGCTCAAGCCTCATCCTGAGTACTTCATGCAGTTTTGGGCACCAAAATATTAAAATTACATTAAGCTACTAGAGAGCATCCAGAGGAGGGCCCCAAGGATGGTGAAGGGCCTTGAGGGGAAGCCATATGAGGAGTGGCTGAGGTCACTTGGACTGTTCACCCTGGAGGAGTCTGAAGGGAGACCTCATTGCAGTTACAGCACCCTCTGGAGAGGAAGTGGAGGGGCAGGCACTGATCTCTTTGCTCTCATGACCAGTGACAGGGCTTGAAGAAACAGCATGAAGTTGTGTCAGGGGAGGTTTAGGTTGGATATTAAAAAAAGGTCCTTCACCCAGAGGGTGGTTGGGCACTGAAATAGACTGCACAGGAAAGTGATCACACCACCAAGCCTGACAGAATTCAAGAAGCATTTGGATGATGATCTCAGGCACACAGTGTGACTCTTGGGGATGGTCCTGTGCAGGGCCAGGAGTTGGACTTGATGATCCTTGTGGTCCCTTCCAACTCAGCATATTCTGTGATTTTGTGGCATTTTACCTTCCTAGTTACAGAGCTTTTCCAGGTGCTGCTGAAGCTGATCTGTAGCAGAATAAGGTTTTGAAATCCCACAGGCAAATGTAAGCAGACATCTCAGCTACCATACATGATAGCTTGACAAAGAAATATAAATTATAAATTATATTTAGTTATTAAATTT